GATTATAAACATATTTTTATTGTTTAATTATAATTTTTTAATTGAGTATTATGCAAATAATTAAAATATAAGTTTTAAGACGAGATAGTCTATTAATAACTGAAAAATTGTATTTGTTTTTACAAAATAATTAGGCCTATAAATTATTGCATGCATATATTTTAAATATTGCAGAACTTCGTGTGAACGTTCCGCCAATAACAATTTATTCGAGTTGTTATGTTTATGTAAACAAAGACGGTTTCGTTGTTAGCTATGAGAATATAAGTGCTGGAGAACTGAAAAAGTGTCTATGGTAGAGCAAATCTAGTAATTATTATAGTACAAATTTTCATTTTACTAATGCTTATATTAGAAAAGTTTTTATTAAACCAATAACATGAGAAACTGTACTTGATAACTGATCAAACATCAGTAACTCTTCATTGTTCTTCTCCTGGACACAGAATCAAGTTAATGTAATGGAAGTGATGCGAGTGCCTTTTCTTTAATTAAAAAAAAAAAAAAAAACAGAAAGAAAAAGAATTCTCTCATTTAAAATTTATAAAATGAATCTGTGTTTTTAACATGAAATTAAAAATGACGTGTAAAAGTTAGTTTTTAAAACTGACGAAGATTTAAATAAGTCAGAAAAAATTAACTTAATTAAAATTTCCAATACAAATTATTAAAATAATTAACTTTTTGCCTTATTATATATATTATTTTCTGAAATTGAAATAAATATACTGATATATCGTCATTTTTGAATATTTACTATAGTAAGAAAGTTCATATTACAAATAATTTCAATTTTGTGTAATTTTTCTGTTAAAACAATTTGGTGGTGTGCGCATTTGGTGTGTTTAATTGAATATCGAAGGCACAAATGTCATACTTCATAGCATCAATAAAAAATAAAATATATTGGAATTTGTCAAGAATGTTTACTTTTTTCAGTCGGTAGTGAGGTCGAGTATTAAAAATTTACGTACTATATACTAAAAATTTTATATTCGGTACTTTTTTATAGGACGTCTACAAGAAAATAACGTCTTTTAACTCGATTTTCTAAGGAAATAAATGCTTTTAAAGACCTCCTTGTCCGTGTCACTGATTTAACAACTTTGTTTTCTTGAACCGTTTATAAAGAACTTCAAAGGTGTTGAAACCTCTGAAACTACACGTCACTATAAATTTATCAACAATAGATAGGTGTATATATTTTGTGAGATAGACCTGTTTTTATAGCAAATATTTCTTTAAAAATTACATACTAAGGGATAGCTGAGGTATATATTTATTTATTTATCAGAGATTTTTACCAAAGGTAAATTGATAGATTTGGCTGTCCTTATTTGAATAGTTTCTTGAATAATTGTAATAGTTCATAATTGCTATTTCACAAAAGAACTAACAATTTTTACACTGAGTCGAAATTGCTGACTTTGGCTCGATCATTTGATGTTCTAACTCACTTTCTTCACAAAATATCAATTTAGGAAAGCTGTAGAATTTTTCTACGCCTTTTTTACTATATAAAATGTCATAAAAACCGTCAAGTATAAAAGATTAATCGTTGAAATAAGCGACAAACGTTCAACTTTTCTCATAATTACAATCAATCAATTCATAACGAGATCGCATCTTCAATCATTCGTGTTTAAACTCTACTCATTTATGCTTAATGGCACGAATTTATCAAAAGATTTGCATATAATAAGTAATTGATAACAATAAAATAAGATTTTATAATTAAAAAATTGTTTTAAAATATTAACGTCACAACTAGCAAATATGTTAATTTTTTTGTGTCGTCTTATAAGAAAGAATTTTCTCATTAAAATTTAATCCTCGTTAATTATCATGAAAATAAATAAAAAGGATTAAGTTAAATAACAAAAGTTAAAGAAAAAAACCAGAGAAATTCGATAGAGCTACTACATTCTTTAACTTTCCTTAATTATTCTAATTTTGTACTAAATTAAAAATTTGGATTTATAATTAATTTCTTTAAACTTTTAAAATGAAATATGAGTTGTATAATTTTATTTTCACAAAGATTTCGCTTATATATTTGTAAAATTTAATTGATTTTATTTTTCATCTCTAGCTCCACACAAGTAGAAACTTGGGCTATAGCGTTACGTTACAATTTCGTAAATTTGAGAATAATCTTCTAACAATTAACGTTAAATCATATTCAAATAATAATAAAGTGTTGTTATATTTATTTCATTAGAACTCATTCATTTTCATAATAAAAAGGCACAAAATAAAATTTTCAGATCATTCAAAATAATTAAAATCTCAAATATTCATGTACTGTAAAATCTCTTGAAAATCAAATCGAATTAAAACAAATTATACTATTAAGAAACTTTAAATTTAATTACGGGATACTTAAAAAACCATTAAATCTCATTTAAATATAGGATAATTCCTTTTACTAATCAACTATATCGATTACATTTGATGCATTTCTGATTAGAGATAGATTTTAATTATCATGAAAACTTAACTAGATTATTATAAATTCAATTTATAATAGCTAAATCTTAATTAAGAAATAATGCATTAAACTTTATAACTTTATTATAAATATATAATATATATTTTTAGAACAAATATATGCATTTAAATAAATTATACGATGATAAAACCATGTTATTTAATTAAAATGGAAATTTAATTTATGTCGGAATAAAATGACCTTAACAAAGTACTACATAAACCCAGTAAATGGTCGTACATTACATTCTATGGCACTCATTACATTGCAATTAAGGCATCTTTTACAACATCGACTAACTACACCAAATATGTAGGCTTTAATAGTTTATGTTCTGTTTACATTAAACTTCTTATACATAATTCTTCAGTATTTTTTCTCTTTATCCGATATTTTTAATATTTATANAAATATTAAACTTATTAAATAATGTAGTATTATCTATTCCCTAAAAACTGAAGATGCTACTAAATTAAATGTTAATTATTCCTACCTATTTACAACATACAATACATTCAGAAAATTCTTAATAAAGAAATTTGAAAAAAATCTTTCTATTCAGTTTTAACATTAAACGAAATTGTATCATTAACGTATTTAAAGATCTTTTCTAAAATACTTAACAGAGTCTACATAAGAATAAAAGTAATCTTTGAAGACTTTTAGCTGAGTTTACTTTAAAATAAGGACATCTTTTCAAGCACTTAACTTCGTTTACATAAAAAAAAAGTAAATAATATTTTATAATACATTAATGATATTAAGTCTATAAGAATGACAGAATTTTTTAAAAAGTAAATAATTATTTTTGCTAAATTTAATACTCACTAATAATATTTCTCTAGTATTTTATTATTATATAATATACTTCAGTTAATAAGTCTATTTAATGAACCTAGAAATGTATGAGAAGACATGATACATCTTGATTAATTTGAAGTACGAGAAGATATATTATTAAAACATTGCGTCTATTCTAAAATATTTAACTGATTAATTAAATAATTTTATGGAAATGAGTTATACTAACGAAAGGCGATACGTAAAGATCATACTGCAGCTAATGGTGATTAATTATAGGATATGCATATCTTTAAAAGGGAGATAACACTCATCCTCTTCTACTCCTAACTAAAATTAGTTTATAAAAGTCTTTATTAAATATTTTTTTATATCTTAATTAAGTTTTAGTTTACACAAAAGTTAAATTATGAAACCAAATTCACATCTTAAAAAAACATGAGTAATTATAGAAGTGTGCTTGTGTACATTGAATTAAAAGTATGCCTGAAAATGAACTTAACTCACTCTTAAATTTTAAAGAAAAAGAATAGCATGTTGTTTATTATTATTATTAGAATTGATTTTTTGATTTAAAATATATAAGAAAACATTCAAGAAAAATTATAAATTTGTTTTCAATGAAATATATTAATTACTTTATAATTAAGATTATTTTCTTAATTAAGATTTAGGAATTCTAATGTAAATTATTTTTTCTTGTTTATCTTAAGAATTTTTCATTGCAATTAAAAAAATTTAAATATAATGTGAATTGGGAACTTTGGGGAATTACTAGGATTAAAAGTAATTTGTCTTTGCTTTGATTATTGCACTTTATCATGTAAATTTTTAATGAAATTTAAATAAGTAAAAAGTATGTTGAAAATTCCTAAGGGTATTTAAATATAATTTCTCTTTTTCTGTTTTTTAATATCAGATCTATTTTTTTAAATTGAGAAGTATTCATAATTTTTCATTATTACAATGTACTGTACAGTATATACATTATTTTATTTAAAAAGTATTAATCTAATAAAATATTGTATTACATACAATAATTAATTTTTATATTTAACTGTTATGATTGTTAGCAGGTTTAGCCTAAGGCTAAATTATATGTAAAATAAGCTGTGATTATGTTTGAATTTTTATCTGAACAAAACAATAATAATAATAATAATAAACAGATATTCTCTAATTTAGGCTATTTATTTTTTCCTGTTATTAATGAAAAAAAACACGAAATTATCGTGTGATTTAATTTTTAATTTTAAAGTAAATAAATTTCTTTTAAAAATGTAGTATATTAATTTTTGTTTTTATAAAATATAAATTTTTAACTATTTATTCATTCTACAGCATAGAGTTGAATAATATGTTACAAATCTTATGAAGATGATAGAATCTATTTTGCTTCAATCCATTGATAGGATGATTCAAAATATGATTGAACTTTACAACTTATATAAGAATGCAATCTGAAAGATCAAAGGAAGAAAAAAAACTAAATATTTTTTCTACGTAAGCAATGGCAGAGTAAAAATTGTTTCCTGGTCCCCTTGGTTTTCCATCAGTAACCTAAGTGGAAAGAATTATTTTTATATTCGTGACTTTCCTATCAATCAATGTGCTATTTAACTGAAAGATGAATTCGTTTCCAGTCCCTGCACTTTTTTTATTGGCGTAGTTTAATCATATTTTGGCTTTTCTATTTTTTTATTTTTAGGCTATTTTTCCAGCCGGTTTGAAAGTTCCTCAAATTTCTCTTCTGAAACTTTCTTAACAAAACTGTTAGATTTTATTTATAAAAAGAATTCTATAAAATTTACCGGTTATAAATGCAAAATTTAATTTTTACAATTAAATTTCTATAAAAATAAACATTAAATTGTTTTCTAAATATGATAAATTTTAAATAATTTTTCATGATAAATTTGAATTCTATCGATTTTCTAGAAAAATAATTTGTATAAATCTATAATTAANTACGTTTATTGAAATGTTTAGTTTTAGTTATAGAATACGCTTAGGCCTACTCATTTATGACCAACAGTTATGGTTCACTTTATATAATATAGGCGTATATTTAGCATTTTTTCCCACACTTTGCTACTCATTTAATGCAGATAATAGAAAACGATCAATTTTTACAGATTTTATAATTGGGTATTATATAATCCGGATGTAAATTCTTATCTGTAGTGAAATCTAACATCATGTTAAGTCAGATAGTTCGCTTAAGCAGCTTTCGAAGATTCTAAAATTCGTCATGTTATCATTTAATATTGTGTTCAATCATAGTCCTTCTATAAATTACGTTAAGGCTCATTTTATGATAAGTTATATCAAACTGATTCTTTGATAAAAGTTATTATAGATGATGAAAATCTATCATTTTCGACAGTAATTCATATATAGCAGAACGAAGGATTATTCATTTAGAAAACATCGCGTGTAAATTCCTGCATCGAATTTATTATAATTATAGATGCTTTATATATTATTTCGATCGAATAATGCATTAATTAATACAGTTTAAAGTAGTCTAATTTGTTTATATTAAGTCTAATTCAGTTTAATACAGCGAAATAAAACGAATCTATTTAATAGTTACAAACGTCTTTCAGTAGTGGATTATTTAAGAGTATTATAAAACAAAAAATATTTAAAAAACTCAAACAGATTTTTCTGTTGAAATCGAACTTGTATACATTTCGAAAACGATTTACCTTTCAAGTGATACTTTCTATTGATTTTGAGAGAGTAAATAGGCATCAAGGATTTTTGGAGAAAAATCAGACTTGGAGAAGCAAGAAAGAGTGACATAAGTGAAGTTAAGGATGAAGTTCATGTAAGTAGGTCATTGATGTGAATAAGGAAGAGGATAAGAAAGAAAGCTAAGCCCTAGGGGACATAGATAAAGAGGGCATCCGTCATAGCCCGTCAACAACTGCAGAAACATATCAGCAGAAGTTTTGGGAAAAAATAAACAGAAATTAAGCTGAACGATATTCAGGAATAAAACATGAGGCATTAGTTATGCTTTTATCTCTATATGATAGAGAAACTTTGATATATAGTTTTGCAATCATTAACTTATCTCTTTGGCATCTGTACGATAAACAAGCTTTATAGGGTGTGGTAAAATTTAATGAGATGTTTAGATAATAATTGATTTGCATTTATTAAATTTAATAATTTAATTTTAATTATCTTTATTTTAAAAGATATAATGATACATTTCTTAAACAGATACCCTTTTCTGATACATGTCTTTATTCATTTTTTATAAAGAAATGATAATGGGTTGGAGAATTAAACATACGATATAGTGTAAATGTTACACATTACAAAAAGATCGAAGTTGAAAATAACCATGTTGGACTTACTTTATTTTTCAAAAGAATCGTCATCAATCGAGTACCGGACTGTAATCAGTGGTTCAAGAGTTCAATCATTGGTCAATGGATCACTATATTTTCGAGAAATTGAACAAGAAGATGATGGAAGATACATGTGTGAAGCGAGTAACGGTGTAGGATCTGCACTCAGTACAGTCGTAAAACTTACTGTTAATGGTAAATTCCTATTATATATATATTTAAAATATTTATTTAAATATATTATAAATTTTTAAGTAATCCACTATTTTTAAGTACCGTTAAGAGTATTTATAAGGGATTTAAAATGTCAATAAATAGAATTTTATAACTATTAGTTAGTTTGCTGTTCATCGGTTATCGGTAAAACATTTTTTTTTCTTTTTAAAACTATCGACTAATTTCTCCGTCAGATGCAGTAACTGTACTTCTCTTGATGTTAAATTTATGCCTGGGAGCCATTTACGAAAGAGATTCTGTTAGAACTTTACTGTTCAAAGAGATCATTAATCATTAATTTTATTGATTAATCATTTTTCTTATTTCCTAATATGTTTCCTAAGTCTATCTACAGTCGACGAGACGATCGAACTTACTACCAATGAATTATGTGGAAATGAGCCAGATTATCCAATATTAGATTAACTTTTAAATGTGCATCGAATTTTCTTTTTCCTTTAAAAAGAAAAAAAATGCAGATATTTATGCATGTATAAAGGAATAAACAAATTATATTTTCAGTTCCCGCTTATTTCAAGCAGAAATTTCAAGCATCCGTAATACAGAAAGGACAATCTACAGAATTAAAATGTGAAGCATTTGGTGAAAGACCCGTGTCGTTTGTATGGATGAAAGATAGACAACTAATCGATTCATCGACTCCTAGGTATGAATACGTTTAAAATATTATCTATAGATAAAAATTCTAATGTATTTCGTAAACAAAAGCCGATAATTTACTTCTGATATCTGATTTAGTTCTTTTTCCAAAATTAATTTTTATCTTCTTTGTGCTGTTGATTAGCTAGCGCTGTAACAATAATTTAATAAAATATTTTATATTTAATAAAAATAAATAAAGCAGAAAATCTTGAAATTTAATTATATTTTTTAAATGAAATTATCTATTAATATTACATTCCAGGTTACCGTTGACCTAAGTTTTGTTGAAGGTCAAACTATCCGTAGGTTTAGCTTTTTTAAATACTTTTTTCCAACAATTTCTTGTCAACAGTGCTTTACTTTTTATATAAGTTAAGTGTTTTCGTCTGGAAGCTACTTACATCTAGCACATGTACCCTTTTTTTATATATGTTGAGCGGCTTAACAGAAGAAACTACATCAATCAAATGCTGTTTACTTTATAAATTATCATTCATTGAAAAAAATTCAACAAAATAAACAAAAAAATTTTAAA